ACACTTCAGAGTACTTTGGACATTTGACCTTACCACTCACATAGTCGAAGGCAGCTGCCATATTCGGCTTAAAGGTTTGATCCTCCTCATCACACTTATGCCACTCATCTTTATCATCAAACCGCACTTCGACAAATCCTGTGTCACACCTCACCTCTCCACAGACACCATACGAAGTCGAATTCTCATCATTATTGCGTCTCACAAGATCGTCAGTATCCAAACACCATGAATCTGGTCGCCCAACTCCATAACCTGGGGTCAATTCTTTACTTGTACATAAAGCAAACTCATTTTGAGTAACGAAGTTGATATCACCATTGTTCGATTCACGCTCAGAACACGTACCCATACCCATACGGTTGGAGGCACATAAACTCTTACCCTCATATTTGCAGAACATATTGGGGTACTTTTTTTCAAGTTCTTCCTTGTAAGTCCCTTTAATCAATTCACAACCCGCGCCGCGACCCCAACTCATGTTTTCTGCCATTTCAAATTTTCCTTTATAAAAACCCATATCTTCAAATGCTGCAATCGTCAGTGCAGTGTAGTACCCAATATTCTCGTACACCACACTAAATTTAGTGATACTCATCAATTCATCCTTGGCGTACCGCTGCGTCCAGTGTGTACAATTTGGTCCATTATTATCAATACCATTGGTAACTTGCAACTCTACACCTTCCATGGTGTCACAGTCATAATGTTCCTTCGCCTTCATCAGTGTTTTATTAGATTTCACCACTATGCGATCTTCGCCTCGAATGTCGCGGACAGTAATCATCCCACGCTCATTCATTCTCTCGTAGTCAAATCCAAGAGCATGGCCAAGTTCATGTGCAAGAAGGCGAACGATACCCTTTCCAAACGCAATGTTCTTTGGGTTGACACGCATGGCACCAATGATTGGACGGTTATTATCATTGGCATCAACAGCACAAGTAAGAGCCCAGGAACGAGGTGCATTATTTCCACGGGAACCAGTAGCCACATACAACATAAAATTAGTCTCTGGGAGTTTCTCTTCGTCGACCTTGAGCTTGCCGTCATCTTTCTTGGGAATTGTAAAGTGAGAACAAAAATTCGTATTTTCAAATGGTATTACATTCCAGGGTGTTTTCATTGGCTTAACGAGGAGACGATCGGTGTGTAATTTGATGGCCTCAGGGAGAATCTTTTCGATGAGTTCCTTCTTCTTTTCGTCATTCAAAACATCTTCATCTTTACACTGCTCTTCATTCCCACTCCAAAAACTCTTTGCTTTTTGGTTTTGGTCTTTACAGTACTTTTTTTCGTCATCAAGATCTTTGTGTGATACATTGATGCGCAGTGACTCCCAACCCTTATTCTCATCCTCTTTCCCAGTCACCCCAGCCGTCAATTCCGCCACAGTGTACGTCTGCCAGGCGCCCTGTCCCCTCTTCGGTACTTCTCTCACCACAGCGACCGGGGGACTGCTCATCTCAGCAACGCGGTCAT